CCATATAAAAAGAAACAATGTAAGAAGCCAATTTTTACAGTAAGCACAGTGCATTTTAGTCTTTTAGCTGCCTGGTCTTCTAGCAATATGTGTAACACTTGTCAGTGACCAGTGAGATACCATTACAACATGACTGGGAAATACGAAAGCAGTTGTTGAGTGAATGTGTATGGGAAAGTAGAGAGTCAGAAGTTGTTCCCTGTGCACTCTTCACTTCCAAATGGGCTGGCTACTCCTTCTGCCTGGTGCCCTGAGATTCTCCTTTCCTTTAGACACTTCTGCACAGGGCCCAAATCCACTTCCACTGCTGGCAGTGGACAAGGTTCCCACTGGAAACCCAGCAGGAGCCCCAGGCAGCTGCTTACCCTTCCCCAGGGTTACATGGGTTGGATCCCATCTCGTGAGCTGTGAGCCCTCCTCACCTCTTTGGAAGAAGAGACCTGCCTAACTCAGCAGGTCTCCCAAACCCTACAGCTTGTTCTTAACACAATCCACACTTGCCAAAGAAACAGGCAGCCCAAGGCACTACCACCAAACCTTCCTGTAAGATGTGCACTTTTAAAATCGTTACTTAATGCTAAAAGCAAAAGTACCAGTTGGTACAGCTGGTTAGTAAGAGAAAGCTCATTTTATATTGAGAGTTTGGAGGGCTCAATGTCATGACTAAGATACTACAGCTTTGAAAAATCAGTTTCATAGGTACAGAAAAAAAGCCCAGTAAAATCCACAGGGAGTTTAACTAAAGGGACTGTGCCATCTGCAGATGACCCACACTCCACTCTACTGAGTGGGCAAATCTCCTTGGATTTCACCTGTCATCCTGCTCAGAAATGAACTGCAGAAAAGTGCTCCAATAAAAATCAAAGTTGGGGTTAAAAACACAAAAAAACATGTTTCCTTGCTAGAATACTGATACCCATGATGATCCTCTTCCATACTACTGTAGGACAGTATTCTACACTATGTGCAAGGGTGGCATTTCCTTCTTTCTCTTGGAAGTGGAACACAATTCATTCTCAAAAATGACACTGCCCAGCTCTTACCAGTTCATGAGCCAAGAGGTGAAGGTTTAGCAGCTCAGGAGGACAGGAGGCTTTGATGGAAGCAATAAAGTATGAGGAACCCTGATCAAAAGTGTCAAGCACCTCTGAATGTCAATGACAGCTAAGGGCTGGCAAGATTTAGAGGAAAGCTGCTCAGTAATTCTAGTAAAAGCTCAATTCTTGTGGTATCCCTGCAGCAGACTACAGTCAGAGCAAAAAAGATGCCATTGCAAAAAAATTTTTGAGAAGTTGAAAAAATACGAAAGTATTTGTATATACTGAAATACAAACATCTAATGCCATTCAGCTATTTATTACTGGCTTCTGTGTAATTCTAACCCATGATCTTGAACAGGCTCCTCTCCCAGCAACCCCCAGCAGGACCTGCTTAGGGTAGTGGGTGAAATGCAGACAGTGAGCAAATCTCTGTGCATTGCAGTGAAGGGGTGCAGCTCTTTCCTCAAGCCCTGGCCCTGCTCTCCTTGGGCAGACTGAAACCCAACAGGGAGTTTTAAAAGAAAGCTGCACGGGTGCAACAACCTACCCATGAAGAAATGGGAAGATACAAGCTGGAAGTGATTAATGTCAGTATGTCTGGCTGATTTGAACAGAACAAGGAGCCACTGCTCTCCTCACAATCTCAGTAAAAGCACTAGGGGTTTTAGGACTAAAGTAACCTGCAGTGTTGTATATTTCATTTTCTGTTGTTCAGACTTCCACTTTTTCCTCACTCTCTGTTCTTCACCTTTTTAGAGGCTCTATATATTCAGTATTCAACTTGCAATACTGCAGCAATGAGCAGTACTAGAATATACAGAACTAGAATTTACAGAACTGGCCTACCACCCTAACCAAGAAAATAACTTGGGCCAGCCTGCTGCAGTCACCCAGGTGTAAAGATGACACAAGCACATGTCTTGAGGTGTGGAAACACCACACTGCCTGCACAGCAGTTCAGTGGTGGCCAGACAAGTCAGCCTAATGAAAACAGCTTTAGCTCCACAAATAAATACACAATGTAGGTGACATTATGCCTGCAGGTGAGCCAAACCGTGAGAAAGGCTGTCCAGCCATTTAGCACAAAAAATTTGTTTCTTCTTGTTACATTAAGCCCCACATTAGTCTGACTTAGCATTGGTTTACAGGAAGTTTAAGTTAAGAATGATGAGACATCCATCTTCTGTTTCTTGTAAGTCACAATGCAAGGGAAAAAAAATCCCAACAAAACTTTAAAGGTCCTATAGAACAGCAAGGAAAGTTTCAGACTGTGCTTCACGTCTGTTATCCAGTGACATTTCTGTGCTTCCCAAGACTGAGTTGCCATATTTCATAAAAGGAACCACATAAATCTTTTATCACAGAAAGAACAGCAAAACTCTTGTCATTGTTCCATTTCCTTACTTTTCACACGTTGATCAAAATGCATTTTAATGGTTTTAATTTAAATATAAGCCAGTAGGTTTTCTTAAAGTTAGATTTTTGTTCATGTTTTTAGTCTGAGAATAACAAAATAACACTATCACAAAGCAGTAAAAATCCCCTGAATACTTAAAAGGACTTAAGTTGAGTTAGTTATTCTGCAGAGTAAGAACATGATTTATAAAGAGATTAACTAGGCACTGTTCTAAGAAGCAAGAATGAAAACTCAGTATATAATGCCAAGCAGTCTGCTCTGGTTTCTAAATAAAAAAGAACGTGAAACAGAGACGCCACCTTAGATTATTATATACAACCACTTAAACATTACTACAATGTAAACATAATTTAAAAAGAAAATCATCATCTAATGCATTTATCAACATGGTATTTAAAATATTAAATTTCCAGTTTCTTCCAAGTAACTTCTCTTACTCTAAGAATGCTAGTTTTATGAGGCTGTTAAACATTTGTAAATTTTTTCTCCTATGAATGAACACAGAAGGTTTTACTGCAATGTGTAATTTTTGTTAGCAGGTGTATTTTGCTGCTGGTGGTTTATCTCAAGAAAAGTATTACAAGCCTTTAGAAATATCAGCAAGTATCTTTTATGGCAATTTCAATTTTAGATCTGAATCAAATATACATCAAAAACTTGTAGAAACTGGATTTGGAAGCAAAAATAAAGTTAATGCTAAGTAGATCTGTTGTGTATTAATTTTGAATGAACTAGGCTCTCTCCTTTACAGACCATTTTACATGTCAAAGAAATTATTAGGATCAAAAGAAATGTAACTATTAACAGTGCACCCTAAGTGTTCCAAATCTGAGCTTCAGAGAACTTTGCAGACACAAATCTGAATGCCACAAGTTACAGAGCAGAAGAGAAGCCAAGCCAATCTAAAACACACATTTTCTTCAGAGGAATTTTCAATTCCAGGCTGGAATTTTATTACATTTTTAAGTTCAAGATTCTAACTTAGCATCAGCATCTTAACCAATTTCTGGTTTGCACAGCTGGATGAAGACTGCCCCTTGCAGGCTGCACGAGTGGGAAGTGATGTTTCTCAACAGCTTTGAGTGCAGAGCAGTCAGCTCATGCCTGCAGCTCCTTGTTGTGGAGATCTGCCTGTTGTCTGCCCATTCTTTTGAAGCAACACTGTTTAGTTCAGTACTGCTGTTGAGGCAGGAACACCACACACTGCTTCTGTCACAGTCAAACCTACACAGCAGGCTTCATCCATGGCCTCACACACCCCAGAAATCCCTGAAGTATGACCACTGCTAAGCCATCAAAGCATTCTACAGCCAAAGCCCAAAAATTCAGGTTTTAGTTGGATATTCTTTAAATATATCAATCAAAGCAGTTAAAGTGTGGGAGCTTTGGATTAAGTAACCACCACTTCCATGGCAGCATTGACCTTAACAGCAATGCACTGAATTTAATTTTAACCAGAATCACTCATCTTCCTCTTCTTAAAGTGCACCTTCTGTAAAAACTGAAAATCTACAGCAGACTCAAGTCTGACAATTGTTTCCAATAACAGCTTCATAACAGCACAGCACAAAAGCTATTCTCCCAATGCTTATTGACTGGAGAATGAATTTGAAGATGTGGTGCTTTTCCTGGGGAAAAACCGACTTGAAACAAAATAAACCCAGTTTCCTGCATGAAACACATGAAAAACAAAGTGAAATGTGCTATAAGAAAGTTGCCTACACACTGGGAGCACAATAAAATTTATACAGATTTATACACTGTGCTCTAGTTAGAAATTTATCCTTGTTCAGATATCTAAAGGATAAATGTTATCCTCAGATTTCTATGTAAACCCACATAACCATTTAAGGCTTTGCCTCCTTCCTGGATTAACTACTGTACACTTAACAGAAAGAGTTTCCACCTCCTGTCCTTTACCCAGGGGGAATATCGACTCTCCTGTCTTTATTTCCAGTGTATAAGAAGTCACAGAACAGTTTTCAGAGCAGTGTTGCTTAAAGGTACTGATGCAAGATGAAACTTACTCCAGCAGACTGAGCTGAGTATCCAAACACTGTAAAGAAGATGAATTTCCAGTTTGAAAATTAAGTCAAATCTTATCAGACAGAGCACAACTCCTTTTACCCAGCTGAAGAAATGTTCCCCAACCATACTGACTGGCCATCCTATTCAGAAGAGGTGAAGCAGTGGACATGCTCCTCGGCATCATGCTGGTTACTGAAGTGACCAAACACACAGAGTTCAATAGAGAAGAGTAGTTTGGAAGGAAACATCACCACACAAAAATGAAATCTGTTAGCTGTCAACAAGAACAGAACAAACCGAGGGGCTGGGATTGTTTCACATGGCAACAGCAATGAGTGTGAACTGGATGCAGGAAAGAAAACTACACAATATAAATTTCCCTAGTCATTCTATGTACAGCCCCGTCTCTCTGTACACAATCTTGGGTGATGAACACAAGAAAGCTGAAGGGGCATCGGAATGGGTAAGAGTTTCTCTTTCCTTGACATGCCTCCACTTGCCAAACACAGCAGCACTTCTGCTTATCACTGCTCATTAGTGCCCTCTGTTGCATCTGACGAACACTTGTCTGTTTTCTTTGCTCTCCTCTGCAGCTGCTCTTGTTCCTTCTTTCGAAGCTTTTCCCTTTGCTTTTCCATTTTCTCTTGAGCTTTGCGAGCCTTCTCCAAGGATGCTTTCATTTCCTTTAGCTTTCTTTTAATGATTGCTCTGTCTTGGGAAGATGTCATGCCGAGAGCCTGAGGTGTGGAAAACAAAATTTAAAAGAATTTCTTATGGTTTAATTGATCACGTTTTGTTTTCAATATTCCAGTAACAATTCTCCTTAGAAGACTGTAATGACAAGGTGAATCTGTCACACTCAGATACATCACTGATGTGCAAGTTCTACACTTCATGCTTTTCACTTCTAGAATATTAAAGATGAACCCTCATTGCCACCACCAGTGTTGATTTCATTGATCAAATAAGGCAAATAAACTATTTTACTGAAACCATCTAAGTCCACATAGAAAAAGACTTCCAAATTCTCACTGCTATGCCTTACTGAAAAGTTCACATGCAGTTTTCTAAGACAATTATACTTAGTGAAGTGCCACCAAAAAATTCAAAAGGGAAATACCAAACATGGACTTTCATATCTAATGAGCTTCCTGCAACTCCATCCTGTATTTTTGACTGAAGTAGGCTCGTATTTTTACTACAAGAAACCATGCATACTTTATACATCAAAATTGTATTTAGTTCTAACATACTACAACTGGTATAAGCTTATGCCTCCCATATCCCATTAATCCATTATTCCCTTACTACTTCTGATATATGTCTATTCACTGTCTTCTCAGAATCAACCTTTCCCAAAATAAAGCTGGATGAGAAATACGTGCATGCAAATGCCACTTCCACACACTGCTGTATGATTTGCATAAGCAAACATGGGTACATTATATACATGAAGAATTTTCACAAAGCAAATGCCTTGCATTTCTGAAGCTTCGGAATCCAAGTGCATATGGGAATTTCTTACATGTGCTGCCGTGGGTTTATACTTCCTGTTTATTATTCTGGCCCATCACAACTCCATGCACACGGATTTGCTGCTTTCTGGATGAATTCTTACTGTCTTTGAGATGATGTAAAGTGACGAAAAATACTATAGTTTATCTTGAAACCCAGTTAATTACCTTGAGCTTACTGCCATCCAGCTGAAGGAGATGCTCCCCATTAATGTTCTGGGCACTGAATTCAGAAACATACTGCTCAAGGTTCAGGCTCATCAGCCAGTGGGAAACCTGCTGCACACTCCACTCGTGAACAGCGCGACTCTGACACTGACTGTGCTTTGGAGACTGTCCATCATCAAGGATCTGTGACAAAAATATTCCACATTATTATTCAAGGGTAACACAGATGAATAACAACATCTTTCTGCACAAACCACTAGCATCAGAGCACAGGTATCTGCACTATCTTTGCAATACAATAACGATTTCACACTGCTATATTACATCTCTCTCTAACCAGACACCTAAGAATGAATCATAGAAGAAAAAGGAACTATAGAATCATGGAAGGAAAAGGAACTGGCATTCCTTTTAATCCAAGCAGGGACTGAAATGGCCAAGTGGCACAATTCAAATCATGTATGCTCCCATTCCCTCACAAGATTTTTTTTCTTCAAATTAGCAGGTTTCTAAAGGACCAATGAATTGCACATTCCACTTCCTGGGCTCATTCACAGATTTTTATTGTTTGTTTAAGCTATTAAAAAAAATCAGGGGAAAATGAAACCCTCAGAAAACCACTCTAGAATTCGAAGTGATGATATCCAACAGCCAGTGAGACTAATACTGTCTATGGAAGAAGACTTATGAGATGACACAGAGGAGTGGTACGGAACACACAGTGATCCCACAGCCCTGGCCCTGCTCTCACCACGTTGTGCTGCTGTGAGCGAGAGCACAAACCCCACTAAAAAGTGCAAGTGTGGCATCAACTGCTGGAGCAGACCCATGTCTCTGCTCTGCCACTTTATTCCACCCACGGGTATGCCAGCAGGGCCTGAAACAAAAGCCATTCTGTCCTGGCTGTAGCTGGCAAAGCAGCTGCTACAGGCTGCAGCAGCTGTCTGCTGTTAGAGCAGCTTTTACATTAGGTTAGATGATGCTGGGAGCTCTCTGTGCTTCTGGCTGTCCAGTTGTCAGGGCTGGATGAAATCCTTTTCTTCTCCTATTGCCAGCATGAGCTCAGCACAGCTGATTGCTGGTCTTGTAGATCTCCTTTGACACCGACCCTCCTCCTGCTTCCAGCATAGCACAAAATCTGCAGTTTGCTATGGCCTTGAAAACTCTCAGCAAAAAGGAGAGGACAACTCCAACTCAGGACATGGAAAGAGGAGCCAGTGACATCTGTGTGTTCTGTGCCAACAAGGGTGTTTGTCACACAACACCACAAGACAAGAAATGTGACTCTGCAAAAGAGACAGTACATTGCCACGCGACGGTGACACGATACACCACAACAGCACGCTAGTATCTCACCTCATCATCAATCATATCCAGGCTCTGAGTGAGGGAGCAACAAAGAAATGGGAAAGAAAAGCATTATAGAAACAAAATACCAAACATGTAACAGCATGTAAAACTTCAGGCAATGGCAGCACCAAGATCTGCAAACAGATATGACTACTTAAAACCAACAAGATTTCTTTTAAAATAATTATTTCCAGAAGCAAAGAGGTTATGTTGAAAGCTCAGCACACACATGATTTGGCAGCTAAATCTGACACTGCATCAATGAAACCCCTTTGGAGTTCCTGATCTTGACACCCTAGAACTGGTGGGAACCTCTCTGATGGCTCTATTTTCCAAGAGCAAAAGCTCCTTAATTAGAGGAGAACTGACTGCAAGAACTGGGTTCCCTCCCTACCCTTAGATTTTTTCATCTTCTTAAAATGCTGGTGGGGCTCCTGGGGAAGCCAGAGTGGAGGAGTGCTCACAGCAATGTGCTGTGGAAGGCTGAGGGGCAGCACCAGCCTCCTCCCTGCCCAAGGTGGCTGGGGAGGTTTCCAGGGCAGCTCTTGCTGAACACGCTGCCTCATCTGGAGGCACAATTTGGTTCATGGCAGAGGATGGAGAAAACACGTTCACTTCTATGGACCTGCTCAGGCTTGGTATTTTAGAAGTAATAAAGTAGGAGCTGAACATGCAAAATGAAAGGATTTCCAAGCTTTTAATTCAATACCACTCAGAACAGGACATTGCCACAATCAAATACATAATATAAGAGGAATTAAACATGGTAAAATAATGAAACACATTATTAAGATAGTACTAACACTAAACAAAATGCAAGTGATGATGTTGCTATTTTCAGTAATTCACAGCATATGCAGATCTCTGTTCTTCTTTTGTTATAAATTTTTGCTCTTAATTATCTGCAAAAAAAGCAACCTTAAAAGAATGTCTGGGTTTGTAGACTTGTAGTTTGGCAAAGTGAATTGCACAGAACAGCTCTCATTCTTTAAACCCAAGTAAACCATGCAGGCAGGAATAAAAAAACCTACCTATCATTAAAACAACAAAAAAAAGGTATAGAAGGTATAGAAACTTCAAGTTCCCTCTCTCTAGTAAAAACAATTTGTCTCAAATTTCACATGAAAAATGTGAAGTTCTTATGGAGTGTTTGTAAAAAGACAAATGCAGAAATTTTCTGACTCCACAGGATGTGCTGTCAGCTACTGTCAAATCGTACAACCTCATCCACAACTGAGTTACAAAACTAGTATCTTAAGAAGAGTATTTTCAATACATTATATTCAGCTCAAATATGTCACCAATTTACAGAGTAAGGAATGCCTTTTTACTTTAGCATTGGATGAAAAAACTCTGGTTTGGAGAAACTGACTTCAAATCCACTGTGCAAAGCAAGCACAAAGAATGCAAAGTGGATTAAGACATACACATTATAATCAATACACGTACATTCAGGTACAGTAACACACAATTACTGCATGTACAGGTCATTCTACCAGGGTTAAAACTGGGGTAGGTGAAGGTGCCTTGCATCTCAACTACATTTACCAAACTGTACTGTCTGCTTGGTGTATCAAAACTGTCTCAGGCCTAGTTTAGTGTATTTATATCTATGTCTATTTAGAAAAAATGTATTGGCACGTGTGAGGATCTATCATCTCTTAGGACACCAACTGCCTTCCACTTCCCTATGATAGTACCGCAGGGCATTATTTTAAGTCATTATTGTATGAACAAGAAAAATCTTAACTTAGAAACCAAGACTAATTTCCTTCTCCAATCCTACTGCCTAAAAGTTTTCCTTTATTATTTGAGTAATCAAGCGAGATTCCATAGGAAAAAGAAAACAACTATTCCCCAAATTAAACAATTTTATCTGCATACCTCATCTGATGACAGTACTAAGGAGTGTGAGAAGCCTGGTGTTTTAGGTTCTGCTCCTAAACCACTCAAATCAGCTGAACTTGTGCTGCTGGGACTGAAATCATCGTTGAATGTGAAATTCTGTGGAGAAAAAGAGGAGTAAGGATGAACAAATTATTTTTCAGGTGCACCTAAAAGGGAAATCTGCTTTCTGCCTTCCATGTTGGCATAGCTCAGGAGTGATTTCAATCATTTACCAAACCAATCATAATACACATGAGGAATCCTATTGTTTCATAGTGTCATTATTTATAGAATGCACAGTATTTTTACCACTCTGTACTTCACGAGACACCTTTGCCAACTTAATGCCTCGATGAATAACAAAGGTGTCTAAAAGCAACTTCCAGACTCTTAAGATGCTGGCTCTCATCCTGGAGCTAAATTACTGCTTCTGCAGGTTAATCACTAGCATTTACTGTCCTCCAAACACTTAGGAGAAGCATAGCACAGGCAGTAGCACAAAGAATAGGACAGAGAATGAACAGAGAGAAGTGAAAACTCCTATTAAAAGAGCAAGGAGAATATCCTGTCAACTCACTTTTGAGTCCCAAATAATCTCTTTTAATAGTGAAAGGATCCTCCCTCTTTGCCTATGCCTTTAGAAAAAAACTGAAACTGAAAGTAAAAAAATATCTTTGGATATTGAATATTATTTACCGAAGTAATAACCATAAAACAAATCCTGTTTTTTCTTAATAATGCAATGAGACACATTACCTCTTACAGCAAAAAATAGCAAAAGCAGGTACGTATTTTTCAGGAATACAAAATTACCATTAGAATAAGACAAAAATTAACAAGTATTTCACACTAGAGGGAGAACAATGAAAAAAACAAAATATATATAAGATTAATGACACCATGATATTCTACTTAACTTGAATACACACCTGACAAAAGAGAGACCTCTATTCTAACATCCAAATGAGTATTAAACCAAATTCATCTTTGACCTTCACTTTAGATAGTGAAACAATAAAAACAACACTAAAAAATGTTGTTCTTCTATCTGCCCACCTCAAATACTTGACCTGTCTTTCCTGAAAATATGAAGACTTCCAAAAATATCAAGTGTTAGTCCTCTTAGTTTTACTGGAAATCCAACTAAATATTGGTATCATGCTGTGCTTTGAAAGCTTCAATAGCAGTACATAAACTCTTAATTTAAGAGCCTGTGAACTTTACAGAGAACATATGAATACTTTTGTGACCATTTTTGTCTCATCTGCGTTTAGAATTCCTGTTCTGTTTTTCCCAGCTCTTTATAGAGGTGAAGAAAATCTAAGCAGCTTCCTTAGCTGCTTCCTTAGCCCACACAGCATTCTTAGGCCAGGAGTTCAACAGCTCTACCTCGTGTTGTGTGAAAAACATATTTTTCAAGTATTTTGATTTTTCTTTCACCTCTATTTTGTGCAAGCTTCAGCTTTATAATGACAGCAAAACTGCAAGATGGCCAAGGTTGGTAATAATTAGGATAGCCCTCACAACCTCAACCTAGTACCATCTACAAGGGTGTGCATTTTCCCCCCACTTGAAAACTATTTTTAAACAATGTTTGTTTAAATACATGGGTCTAAATTTTTTTTTTCCCTAAAAGAGAAGAGGTAAGTAAATAATTTCTGTTCAGAGATTTCACTGGTGGCCTTCTCTATCAATCTGATTTGAACTGCTTTGCTTTGCTCTCCCTGCCAGGTAACACAAGAACCAGCTATGACCTTGCACAGCACAGAGCCTAGTGCACAGCAGAATGTATCACCATCATCACCATTTCTGGCATCAAAAAAGTAAGATATGCCTGTGGAAACTATGAACATGCATTTTGTGGTAGAAGACAGAAAATTAGATTTCTAATTCATATTCCTATACAAAGCTGAGAACTATATCTGCTTCTTTTTACCAGAACAATATAAAAAATCAACTGCTGTAAGTCATAGGAAGTTACAGGCAAAGAAATACTTTCCAGAAGTAAAAACAAACATGAAAAAGCTAAGCATATTACTATAAATAAGGGTTATTTAAGGAATTTTCATGCTGAAACATTCATGCACATAGAAAGGAATCACACAGATGTATTAAATTGCAGTATTTCATATTTACAGTTCAAGCATCTTCATACAGAGAATTAAATCCAACATCCAGCATGCATGACAAACAGATTTCATTACTGGGGGAAAAAAAGCAGATGACTGACAGCATACAGCATTTCTTCACTTGCAAACACCTCATCTGAACATGAGTATTCCCACTACCAGTCCTGAAGAATGAAGATCTATAACTGAATACACAAATCTAGCATTTGTTCAGTGGATCCAAATGCTAATTTCCACTGGCACCACTTGCTTTTGTTACGGTACAGCACACCACAGTTAGTTTACTGGAATAATGTACATTAAGACAAAGTAAAAAAGGTAGAACAGGGAATGGTACAATGACAGAGATGTTCCATTTGGATGGGCTGTTACCGTACAATGAACACCATGCACTGTTTATTGGAGTAGTCACATATTGGCCTGTTCTTTTTTCCAGAATCACAAAGCCAATTATGCTACTCAACACAGTGGGAATAAGGTAGTTTTTATTTTCTACCTTTGACCCTTTTTTAGCTGGGCTTAAATTTTCAGAGGAAGGTTCAGTTGAGCTGGTAGGCGACGGCAGGTTGCTGGAAGAATTGGATCCCTTGCCACTCTCTCCATACCATGTGAATGGTACACAGTGTGGGAGAGAGGAGGATCGCTCTGCTAAAGATTTAGTGTTTGCTGATTTCTGCAGCATCTCTCTGACAGTCCTGTTTAAGAGAAAGGAGCAGGAATATGCATTAGATTATAAAAGAAGGGGAAATAAAATGCCACAGAGGCAGATAATTGTAAAGAGTGACATTCCCTGTAGCTGTGACTAAAGAACTGAGTGGCATGCAGCTGGTAGGGGCATGCCTGAAATCTCTCTGTCAGAAAAAGAAAAAAAGCATGTTCTTTTGATTCTTTTTCTAACTCAAGCTTTCTTAAGACAACATACACCCAGCAAATGGAGACAGATGCCAGCTGAAAATGCCTATACTCCCACCATTCAGATGAGAACCAGCTCCTGTCAAGAAACCACACATTGTGCTTGTGCATTTCTGAGCCCCAGTGCTATCTCAGCATGATTAAATCATTAGACTCAGCACTGACCCAAGCGGGCCCCAGTTCCCAGAAGAAGATCTGACTTGGGTTTTGAGCAGAGGCAGATTGAATCAGATGCATCTGTATCCATCTACTGAGCTGTTCCTTGGTTACAACAGCTAAATACATGCGCAGTACTATTGTCTTACTTTTAAATTTATCAAATATTCAAAATATTAATATAGAAAAATGAAAGAAACACCTATGGGACTTTATCAGATTCTCTCTTTGTAGGAACAAAGACTGCAGTAATCAAGGCAAAGGTAACACTTATAAACAATTTATTTCCTAAATATATTACTAGTACAGAATTTAAATGGAAAATAATTATGCAAAGTGTCTGCCTCCAAGAATTTATGCATATGTCATAGAACCATATTATTTACATCAACATATATATTACTGTTCCAGAACATTAAAATCCCATTGCTCTTAGCAGCCATATATAAATGGGGCATAGGTAAATCTCCCTCAACACCTACCTTCTGGACAGCTCCTAAATCATTATTAACATAATCATTTGACCACATATTTTGTGAAGCCTCTTTTCTGTATGTATGAAAGTGAGGCTGTCAAAGGACCCCCATCTATGGAAGCAGAAGGAGAATCCTACTCCATTTAGTATCTTAAAAGAAAGAAAGATATGTATGTGACCCAGTCCCTCACTTCCCCCTCATCCTCTAATCTTCCTTGAACGTAGAAAGTTAACACAAATGTTGTTGCCCAAACCACCTAACTTCAGGCAGGAAATACATGCTCCTTACTTAAATGGGGTATTTTTTCATATCTGTAGCATTAGTGGTAGTTTCAGGAAACAATCTGGGATTTTGTTTACACATCCCTAGTGCTACTTTCTGGAAATGGCAAAATAATGTATGCACAGCACTCATTTGACAACATGATTAATTCTACATCAATCAGTTGCTGTAATGGACATAATTATAACAGGATGCTGTCTTTTCATCATCTTCCTTCGTTCAAAGAGCTTATACAGCTTTGGACTTGTAGAGAAAACATCCTCACATTTCTTCTGAGGCAAATTCTTTGGAGTTAGCAACAAAAGTGGTAATGGCTGTTAAAAAAGTTATGTTGAAACAGTTACACTCCAGTTAACAGAGGTTGAATAAGAATGACAAATGCTCACAAATTACAACTCTGAAAGCAGTACTTACTAAGCTCTACTTTTAGCAACTGTAATTGGTATATTGAACTGTACCAAAGAAATATTAAGAGACAACACAAAGAACTGATTTATCACATGGACTAAAAAGCAACTGATCTCTACACTGAGATCTGCTCTCTCTAAGGAAGACATCTGTGAGATCTCTCAAATATCTGCAACATCCTGTGTTGGCATAAGGGCCATTCAAGTTCTTACCAACAAATATACACTAATTTCCCCTAGCCTGTGTATCTATGTTGGTACCTAAATGCTGCATAATGTCTAACACCCTGCAAAGGGCACTAGCTGCCTCACAGCCACATGAAGTGCAGAGATTTGGCTTTAAGAAACCTCTTGCTGTCACTAGGGAAACCAGCAGTGAGTATCACTACTCCATGTCAGTGGCGAGCAGACACACTGGGACAGGTTTTCTGACACCAGCAGAGAGGTGATGACTGCTGCCTAAGATCACTGAAGATCCTGCCAGGTATTTGCAGAATACAAGTATAAAAATGTATGCTGAGACAGAACACTGCACTTCAGCACAGTGTGCCTGAGGGAGTAAGGAAGGTTTCCTTTGATTTTCTGATTTTATGGAGCTACACAATGTACTTGTCACTGGTCTGCATATACCAGACTGTCAGCAGAATTGCACAAATGGCTGCATACTGATTTTCCACCACAATGTTTTTGTGAATAGCATTCAAACTTTGCTTTCTTCCAATAGCTGTTTTATCATGAATGTTTTCTGCATTGTTTTATGTGCAGAGTTTTTGAGTTGTTATGTCCTTCCTAGACTTTTGGAACATACTAAGTTTGCTTAGCCCTCCTCACTTTGTCTTTCATACTTGGAACCAGGTATCCTGCTGTGATCTTGTCAGACTCATAGGTATGTAAGGACAGGCCTTCAGTAAAAATCTACACTCCTTTTTACAGAGATTGCCTCCTGTTGTGAACACTCATTTATTTATTCAGAGTTCTGATGTTGGTGATGTTGTCTCATCAGATCTCAAAAGGAATTCACAATTCATTGCCTGAAAGTTGTTGATGTGACATGCAGTCAGCATTTTTCCTATTTTTCAACTTAAGATGTTTATCTTCAGGAAAAAAAAAAAAAGCCTTCTGAAAGCATTCCTAGCGTGGGTGTGGCAAAGCTGCAGCAAACAGCTGCTGCTCAACCTCACTCCGGGGGCTTTAAAAGAAAAAAAAAAAAAAAAAAGTGAAATTGTATCAAGGTTTCTGGTTCATGGATATTAATAACTGACTGGGTGCATCTTGTAGGGCTGCTCTGAAAATCTATTTCTGCAAATCTCATTAGTGGATGCAATAGCAGCAGTGATCGAGTTGGACTTGATGATCCTTGTGAATCACTGCCAGCTTGAGAAATTCTATGATTCTATGACACTATAAACCTGCAAATATCTGTAGATTATACGTTAGCCTTTTGTGAGCCAAGGAATCTAGGTTTGTAAGCTCAGGTTATCTCAAAGCTTAACGTTTATTTATGAAGTCAGTGGGACTGTTATTTTCCATCTGCTAGGATGATTAGGTTTTTCCAGTGTTTCTGGCACACAATTTCTCACATCCTCAATCTCAGCCATACCTACTGCCACAGGTCACCCTAACAGCTTCCTTCTCTTTCCGCTTCTTGCCCTTGCTCGAACTCCTTCTCAAGGGAGCCCTATAAGAATATTAGAAAACATCAGGAAACATCTTAGAAGTTTTACTTTCAATCCTTTTAATGAAGAAGAAAATGTATTTTAAATAACAAATGCTTACCCAAGATCTGCAAGTTTTCGCTTTAGTTTTTCTGTATGCCCTATAGTAGGGCTAGTTGTTCTTGCTGCCTGAGCACTTGTGGCACCATCTAGGATACATTTGTACATGGAAGAATGTACATTATTAATTTTAATTGGTACTTTCCATCCAGAACACATTGTGTATCTTTTCATAATTAGATACCCATATATGAAATTGTGTGAGTACACAATTTAATTAGGAAAATTCTCATTTTTAGGAAGATGGTGTGAACAGGAATAAAAATAAATAATTTCAGAACTCAAAAATACACAAAAAACTTATTTTAATTAAAGAAAATCAAAAGTTAATATTGATTGAGTTTTAATGCATATGTAATAAATTGAATAACACAAAGTATTTATAGGCAAACATTCCAGGGAATCAATTTTTAAACTCATCAGTAGTTTGCTTACGTTTATTTTTTACATAATTCATTCAGTATGTATGCTTTACTTCCAAAATGACTCCTAAAGTTCTTTTTCCAATTTTGGAGCCAAGGGTACCTTTTATGATGGACGTACTATGAAATAGTTAATCAGTTTAGCCCGAAGATCTTTGTTAAAATTGAACATGCAACCTAAAATCTAACCATTCTGAACTAAAAAACAAACAACAACTCTCCCAAAACCTACAAGTAGCTTAGTTAATAAATTTGTCCTGAGGCATCTATCAATTTTTGATATCTTCTACAAATGCTATTAAATCCTAAAGAGGAAACAGGCTGCAGTACCTATAAAGCCAAAACAATGAATCTGAGTCTGGCAAACATCCTGTGAAATCTATATGGAAGCTAAAAGAAAACACACAGTAGTTTAAAAATTCAGACACCGTGACTCTTAAACATACAGAGTGTTCCCAAATACCCTAGAGGAAGCAAATGAAGGTCAGTCATTCATGTCACTTGTGGTTTGGTGGCTTTTGCAATGTGACCTCAGACATACACAACCTTTAACTGGAAGCACTGCTGCATTTGTGGATTTCTCCTAGTGTCGCTGACTTAAATTAACCCCTCAAAATTAACCGAAGTACCATAGCACTACCACAGGACAGCCAACTATGCATACAGAACTTTGTGCATTGCTTTGTAGATCATATCTGCCTGAGTTTTCAGCTGAGCAAAAAATTTCATGTGCAATTAAATGGTTCCTAAATCCTTTGAAAAGCAGGAAAACAAGCCTTTTGCAACATTCACACTCTAAAAGCCATACTATTTCCACCAACACAAGTCCCTATGTTAAAAAAAATTAAATTTCAAGAACAAATAACAAGTAATCCCATTCCAAAAAAGCAAACAAAAAAAATAGTATGAAGAATGAAAAAAGCAAGGTGAAGTCTGCAAAAAAGAAATCCATTCCTCAAGGAAGTTGAGGAGAACTTCTGGCAATGCACACTGGGCATCAACTTTACATGTGCACACTTCTTTCCCATTTCCGCTTAGAGCTCCTCTTTCACTTTTAATGCACACTTCTCCTTTAACCACTGCCAAAATTGTCACAAGAATTAAAACTTGCAATGTTTATTTTAACACCAACTATTCCCAGGCAACTGAGGCTTCAGGGCAAGGGGTAGTGGGTTTTTTTCAGAAACTTCTTAATGAAAGTCAAGAAATTAAAAAGTACGGTGGTTTTGTGTTGGGCAAATAATTAAAGCATTTAGTAGATGAAAGTTTTGTTGCTGTAGTAAAAAAAAATAGCCTGAAGAGCTCAGCTGGAATACACAGCAGCTACTCAGAATGGCAAATTTCTGTTTGAGCTCTTATACCCCTATGATCCCCCTCCCACACAGCTGGGGCCAGCCAAGGCCCTTTAAATAAAGATGACTTGCTGAGGAAAATATTTGTGCTGGCTATAGGACATAGTGGAAAATGGATAGGCTAGCTCCCAAAACCAGCTTCAGTGGCAGTGTGGATCAGAATCTACAGGGTCTTGCATGCAGGAAGTACTCAATGCTTGCATATGGCAGTGACCAAGAACCAGGGGCACAGGTGCCCTGCTTGGGCAGGAGGGGACTTTGGCCACCCTGGATGGGTGCACCTTCCCCAACTCCTTGCAGTTCTTCAGAGAAGGTAAGGGAAAGCTGGTTTCTCAGAATAAATCACACAGAAGCTGTTTAACCCATCACCTCCAGCCTCCAGCTGCAGTAATGTGTGGCTGATGGATGTGGAAGACTCTAGACCTCATCCCCTGCCCACTGCAGTCACCTCGCTGCCTTATCAAAGGATGATGCTGCTGCACAAACCAGGCAGAACTGAAGAAATTAAAGTCATCATATAAACACAAAAAAAGCTGTGGTTATAGGCTCATCATTTTGCAATGAAACTGATCTCATGCCACTTCAGCCCTTCCCACAATACTGCAGGATCTCATAATAAAAACAAGAAAAGACAAATGTGAGCTTGCTAATGTTCACTTCTGCTATTGAGAGACTAACCCTTGGCCATGTGTGTGTCCACAGAGGTGCTCTCTTTCCACCTCTAAAAATCCCACCTGAACACACAAAACAAATGCAATATCTTTTTTTTATTTTCTGAGCTGTAGGAGTTTAACAGCCAAATTAACAATCATTTAAAATAGCATTGCTGCAACACTTGTTGCCAAACAACTGCTCTAGTAGTTTTTAGTAGGCCTTATTAAATACATTTTTTTTCTACTTGAAATTATATTGCTCTGGTTAATTCTAATGTATTACTCAGCAGAACCTGGACACACCCATAAGCACTGGTTGTTTACTTAACGGTCACAAAGAGGAAAGCATGACAGCAATATTTAGACAGAGATTGTTTTTCAAACCTAATTTGGAAAGAGTGACACAGTGGGTGGAATGCAATGCCCTATTCCTTGCACTACAAGGTTAGTTTCCACTAATTTTTAACCAAGGTATTTTCATACATCAGTTGGAAATGCAGGATTTAGGACTTCCCTGAAAGACCAATCATACATTCAAGCTGAGTTTCTAAAGTCATAATCTTATGTTCAAAGCCTTATTTTCACTTGCAAAACCCAAATACTGAATTTACATTAGAATCCTTAACAATTTAACCTAGTTACAACTACCAATTTCAGAACTCATGTAAAAATTCTTGCAATATATTAACCTATGCTAAATTCAGCAGTTTCATAATGCTATCTTTTATGAACCTGTGTGAAAGCCCTGCATAAAGACGAAGAAAAAAAATGGTTTAAATCAGTAGCAAGTCTTTTCAGGCACACAAACACAAATCTTCAATAAATTGCTCTTTTCAGTTAATTCAAGAAAGTTCAAGTCTGTTATGAACCTATCTAGACCTCCTCCTGCAGACTTCACTTATGAACAATTTTTTATTATGTATTTTAGCTTATGTGACAGTTTCAGAATGGAAGGTGCATTGCTAAGAATGCTGAAGGGGTGTCAAATGTTAATTCTGACTTCGAAATGCATCTGAAAAGGACAGCTCAGTATTCTGTGACATATCATATTGTTTATTATTGTTATTATAATAAACTGGTATCTGAGGCATATACCTGAGCTATATATGATTGTATCCTGTTTTATCCCCCTAGCATTTCAAGGATCTGAATTCAATTAGTAACAATGAGACCGACCTCCCCAAGAAATTACTTTATTTTTTCTGTAAATGAAAAATCTCCAGGCACTAACCTCTCATTAAACCTAGACTTTGCCTCCTCTCAGCAATTAAAAGCAACAATCTGTTGTTCTTGCTTTACACTCCTTTCCGCACCCTCCAAAAAAATCATCTAGCAGTGCCAAAATCACATTATTTGAGTAAGTACACTGTGTTAAGCATGTTTCTAATATGGAGGTGTCCCAAGGTCAAATAACTTTTTTTAAAAAAACACAATATAACATTTTCCTAAAGGCAATTTCCCGTTTTTTTTCAGTGAGTTCCAAGAAAGCCAGAAAAAAAAGGATGTAAGCAGTTCCCTATCCCATTTTAATTTTTGTCTTTTTCTTATACCATTATACAAGGTTATTTTGAAGTTTTTTACTTCCAGGCAAGCAAAAGAAATTGCAAGATGATGACCTTCTAGTTGCTAAGGTACTACTGCACAACAAAAGGTAATAAAGTAGATAGCTGTTAAGTGAGCAAAATGATGCATCAATTTATTGTAAAAGAAACAGTAATACCTTTATCCTGTAAAATATTCCTGCCAGCTGGGTGATGCAAAGGAGATGCTTCAGAGCTGTGCCCAGATTTTGAAGGAGAGGAAAGTGGAGTGTCTCCCCGAGCATATGGGGAAAGGACACCTCCTTTGTGGTGCTGTTCTTCTTCTTGGTTTTCAGTTAGGTTGTCAAGTGAGATTGCTGCACTGCTAGCCACGGGGGAGAGGGAGGAAGCACCAGAATCTGATGCTGGTGAGGATGCTCTCATGCATAAGGGCAGTGGTGATTTTGAAATGTGCATGGGACTACTGTAACTGTGTGATGGCTGTTGGTATAAGAGATTATAAAGCAGGTTATACCACTTAGTAAGCAAACAGAGCAAGATTTACTTTGAACATGCAATTCTTTTATTCATTATTTAGCTTTCTATTTGTATGAAATGCTGTAGCAGTTCAAGGCATTACCCTTTGATACCACACACAGTGTTGTTTATTGGTATTGGCTTTCAGATGAAGTCAGAATAGGACAAAACAACGAGCAAATATTGTATCAATTGTGATAACAAATTAACAAATAGAGAAATAAATGCACGATTCAAGCCCTTTTACCTCCTGCATAAATGAAAAGACCCGCTCTGCATTATAAAGCACACATAAATCAAAAAGACCAGGATTCCAGTTAAAACACAACAGAAACAAGAAACAGGAGTGCTGACTCAAAAGGAGACTGGACTTGCACATCACTCAGGGACATTCACAGCAGACTGGCCACAGAGGAATAAATACTGCCTGTGCTACAATGAAAGGATAAAGACAGAGGATGAAATGACTTACAGGGGCAATCTAGCACTCCACAGGAAGCCTGAAAGAGAGGGTAGAGTCCTTCTCACCTTCCGTTCCAGGCTGTCCTCCCCATCAGTTGAGCTGATGCTGTCGTACAGCCGCGTTCGCGAAGGTCTCTGCCGCTTGTTCTTCACTGAGAGCTGAGCTCGAGTCCTCAGTGCTTTGGAGTCCAGTCTCTCTGTTTCTGGAACTGCTTCGTTGAAATCTGAAAGGAAACACGATTTGAAACTGTTTAACAGAAGATCTTTCATTACATTTTCCTAAGAAAAGGAACTGTACAAACAATTGCAAGTACATGCATTTGCATAGAATCACAGAATCATCTAGGTTAGAAATGACACGTTTTTCTTGTACCTGTACCTTCATAACTCCTACAGTACCCCCAGAAAAGGTTATTTGCATAAATGAGTTTATCTCTATAGATTCAGCAAGGGTATAGCAAAGAATCCACTGCAGATATTTCAGAATTCAACTAAGTATTCTCACTGTTACACAGATGACCACACAAACCCAGCTGTACCAGCTCAGAAAGTAGATCCACTTAGGACTCCTTCAGAGGGAGTTGCATCTGCTTGGCCTGCAGAGAGTTCTCCTCCACCAGGGCATAAACATCACTGCGTGATACATGAAAACTGGGGAAGTATTTAATATAAAAAACAGAGCAATGAAATCATCTTACTTGTCTGCCTTCAAGGACTCCTGATTCCTGAATGTCTTCTGAGTAAAGTGTACTGAACACTTCATATACAACTTGCCTCTACAGTTAAAACTAACAAAGCTGTACTTAGCTATCAACCATCTACTCAAATGAATACCGAGTATTGCAGCAAATTTAACATGTTACAAAACTGCAGTGAGTAAGACTAAAAACATTTTAAAGCTGTTTTTGTATTTTATACTAGAAAAAATAGTAGATTCTTACAGTTTTAACTATTCTTTTTTCAAGCCTCGTGGTAAAAACCAAACCATAATCCATTAGATACATTTACTTGCCTATATACTACATTGAGAATACACTAATTAATTAAAATCTGATCTTACAGATAATTTTGCTTTTCTTCTATGTGTAAGAGTTAAATTTTACTTCATATGATACTACAGAATAATTAGCATTGTCTGACTTGCAATGATACTTCTGCCCTAAGTACTCCACAGGATAACTATACATCGTCATGGCTAGAACTGCTTGTAATTTTTCTTTCAGGTGTGCACACGTCCATACATCCCTTTGTTTCACTGCTGGAATTATGCAAACTATCAACACAGGACAGCAAAACGTATTCACACAAGTGCCCATATGGGCCTTCTTAAAGCATCTGGGAGACCATCTGGGCCTGGAGCTTCCTACTTCCTCCATCCCATCTTGGCTGCTTTGTTGCAGTGGAATTGGGCTGCTGTCAGATGGTCTCTGCCCCAGCCACACGTGCTGCCACCCCAAGTCCCAGCTCCCTCTTCTGCAGAGAGTGGCTGGCCCTCACAGCTCCCAGCACAAACCCACAACCTCGCATGATGCTCTAGTAATCTCCCAACCCACTGCGGTGTCTGGAAAATCTCTCACATAAAAGTCATAATAGTTCTTATTTCACTCTCAGAGTCAATACAATAAGGTTTTCTTTCATCAGACCTCCAACCACTTAACTCCAACGTTCTTCCATCTGAACTATTTCAGTATCACTGTGAAGCAGGAAAGAGCTCGCCTGTACTCCAACTGTTTTTCCATTAGACAGGCTGACAGAATCTAAAATCTCCTTCTGTGAACTGCTGCATCCCTGGGTATCCAAAGACACTCAGAAAGTAGAGCCACAAAGTGGCTTGAATGGGCACTTGCACAGAGATGCCAAAGTCTGAGTCTGTCAAAGTCAGCCTTAGCACTGAGCTGTCTAGATTTCAAACCACTGACTCCTGCCAGTAAACAGCTTGATTGTCTACTGCAGACACAGCTCATGATCACTAAACCAGAAATCTACAATGCCCTTCTGGATTCTCAGAATAAACTGTATATTCATAAAGGAAACACAATCCGTAGTCTAGTATTCCCTGGCAAAGCAAAGGCAGAATTACATGGGCCGTAGTAGTTTTGATTTTCCTTTTTTAACTTCCACTGATGTTAGTGGCAGCCCCTTAAGCTCAGTGTGAGGTTATGTTACAGCCTGAGGAGTCGTGCAGTCTGGCAGGATGCTGAACACAGCCAGAGCACCGGCAGTGTCAGGAACTGTTATGTTCAAATGTTTGCAACCATCAGGCTGCATCCATTGCTTCTTCCCAAGTCTTCCACCGTGCAAAAATGTAATAAACACCTCAGATCACATTGAAACAAAAACATACTTGATACAATTTGAATTAAAATACTGTATTTTTACATACCCTAATTTTTTGATGGAAGACAGACCTGCAAACCTCTGAAAAAAATTCTGGGATGTGGCTGTCTACATGCAGTCCTACCCCAGGAACCTAATGCAGAGGCTGGATCAAGAAGCATGTGCTACACTTGCCAAACACGAGCCAGAAAAGAGACCTGAGTGAATGTCACAAGGGCAGTGTGCACAACCCACAGCACCCAGAGGGACTCTACTCACCTCCAAAACATTGTGGACAACTCCCCTGCCCTTTATAACTCCTCTGCAAACATCTTTGGGTTGATGGCAACCCATCTTTTCTCAAAAGGTTTAATCAAGGGTGACAGATGTAGGCTCTCTGCAGAGCAAGTATCTCAACATAACAGTCTGATACAGATTCAGAAACTGACACAGAATTTACTGGAAAAGGTATATGAAGTCAAAAAGTGCTACAGCATATTTAAGAATATCCTTATTTTTAAAAAGGAGGTTTTCTTCTCTCGTTAAAACCACAAATGCAGCCTGGAATCTAAGGTCTAACTATGCTGCTTCTGCTTTCAAATAATCATTGCCAATTATCTATTTTTCCCAGCAAGTAATTTGTGTTTGAATTCATGTGGTTAAACTTGGGTGTTTAAATTCAGACATCATCTAGTCTAACACTCAGAAATAATTTACACTGGTAACATTTCTCCAGGAAAACAGTTTTGGAATGAAAAAAGGGAGCTCTTTGAAAATTTTCATGCAAATGTATTGATTAGAAAACATAATTTTGAAGCATGGACATGCAGATTTTTAATGCTATACTAAGAACTTCCAACTTTTTAGAATTAATTTTACAATTTTTTTTTGCATGTAGAAATTCCTTGATTTTAGCTCTTGAGCCATAGATGTGTGTTAACATTGTAATGTAAAATAACAGTAAATGTAAGCATCATTTTTCTGAGTCAAGTGAAGAAAACATACTTTCCTCTCCTGAAACGAACTACTGAAAGGATTTGTGTTAACAGTACTGCTGAGTATTAAGTGTTATTGTTCTATAACACTTACTGAACCTCTATGGCAGAAATACAGACTTTCTTTCCATCCTGCTTTTCTGAACTTCAGCGATTCCATTACAAATAACACTTGACAGAAAAATAACAGATCTGTGAAGATTTGTGGAAACCAGTTGCACAAGGTGTCCATATCACCTAATACCATTTCAGCAGGATAGCTCTTTTTAATACACATAAATTGTGAAAAATGTAATTCATATTGATTTATTCGTAAGGCAATATTGTTTGGGTTCCCACATGAAATCACTGCTAAAATATCAATTTTAATAAAACACCTCTGTGCTTGCCAGAAATTAATTTATTTCATAATGTATTGCATTTTTTTCAACAGAGAAATAAATAATATTACAGTTTCTAGGAATCCTGGGCTGCATCAAAACAGGGTGGCCAGCAGGTCAAAGGAGGTGATTCTGCCCCTTTGCTCTTGTGAGACCCCCCCCGGAGTGCTGCATCTAGCTCTGGGACTCCCTGCCTAAGAAAGGACATGGAACTGTTGGATCAAGTCCAGAGGAAGACCATGAAGATGATAAGGGGACTGGAGCACCTCTCCCTTGAGGAGAGGCTGAGAAAGTTGGGGCTGCTCAGCCTGGAGAAGAGAAGGTTGTGCAGAGATCTCACAGCAACCTTCCAGCATCTTTAGGGGCCCTACAGGGAAGCCAGAGAGGGACTCTTTGTCAGGAGTGACAGGAGAAGGAGTAATGGCTCAAACTGAAAGAAGGGACATTTAGGTTAGATATGTGGAAGGAATTCTTCACTGTGAGGGTGGTGAGATACTGGAACAGGTTGTCCAGAGGAGCTGTGGCTGCCCCATCCATGGAAGTGTTCAAGGCCAGGCTGGAGGCAGCTTTGAGCAACCTGGTCTAGTGAAAGGTCCCTGACCATGGCAGGGGGATTGGAACTAAATGATCTTTTAGGTACTTCCAACCCAAATTATTCTATGATTCTATGATTCTATGATTCATAGGAGTTACGGTTTGCTTCAAACAAACCTTGACTTAAGCCATCCAGGCACGTCACTTGCTTAGTATCTAGATTTTCCACTGGATCTCCTCTAGAAACTTCTCCAAAAGATGTCTGCCTTTCAAAAATGTTGTTGTTATTGTTAACCTGGCTTCCATTTTGCTTCATTAGCCTGAAAACTTCTGCTTCCAAGTCTTGTATCTGAAAGAAATACAATGCAGTATTACCAAAATATTCACTCCAATACATCCTCCCCATCAGAGACATTATTTTTCAAGAATATCAGACAGAATTGTCTCATTCTTCAAATAGAAGAGTAAATGCTACTCACACGAGCTTGTAAGCCTTGAACCTCTACAAGGTGTGCTTTCTCCAAATCTTCTATTTTCTTCCGTTCAGCTTCCTGGCGCTTGATGAAATCAAGTTCTCTTAGGGAAATAAAAAAGATGCATTTGCTGTCATCAAAGCAATCAGAATGAAACAAAATAAAAATAAAATGTTTTGCTACTCATCAGAAAAATCTGTCCTTTGAAAATAATTCATCAGTTTCTTAGTAAGAACTGCGAAACTGCAATCAGGACAAAACCCTAAGCAACTAGTCTAAATGAATACCCTAGGCAATGACATAAAAATGGCAAAACCAACTTATCTGGAAAAAAAGAAATCTCAGTTCTTACTAATAATCAAATTGGTTTCTTTTTCTAATCTGTGTTTACAACAAAACCAACGTAGCTTGGTTTATGCTGTTCTCTGTTGCAGGACATAGAGCAAAGTCTCTGCTTTACTAGAGTATGACTGTGCTCCTTCACAGAAAGGACAACCTGTAAGTTTGTAGGTACAAATTGAATTTTCTACAGGAAACCTGTTAGGTCAGTTAAGGAGTCTGAGGTATTTAAAAACAACTGACTAGATATTTTACTAATATAAAGCAGAATGTCCATAGAAAGCTATCCAAACTCATTCTAGTGCCTTGCCCTATCACTTTTTATTTTGAATATCAAAGAAATTTATGATAGAAAGCACACAGGATACAAACTAGCTCTGGATCAGTCATGAAATTCCAAGATAAGTAATGACAGCTTGACAATCTAACCCCATTTTTAATGGGACAGGATATTAATTTCCACAGTCACAATTATCACTTGACATTGCTGTATGTCTTTGAGTTTTCCTCTTTAAATAAGTATATTTCAGCAGAAAATGAAAAAAGCTGCTGCCAAAAAAAAAAAAAAAAGTAATTTGGGGAATGGAAGCTTTTATAGAAATATAAGATGTTATTATTCTTGCTAGCCACCAGGGAGAGGGGACCACATGAAACAGAGGGGGCCAGGAAATCATCAGTTAGCTCAACTCAGCTCAAACATTCTTGGCATCTACAAGAAGAAGAAAAATAAAATGTAAAATGTAATAAAACAATATTATTTTTGATGTTACATTAGTACACAGCAGGAATGAATCCAGCTGATACAATACCCATATAAATTGCTGCAAACTTTGCCTATCAAACGCTTTACTGTGATTATTCTTAGTTGTTTGCAATTACATCGAGCTATCTCCTAATTCTGAAATATACCAACCTGGAATATTACAGACAAAATCTTTATTTAGGTACAGTATGACTACAGCTTAGTATTAGCATTTTTCCATAATAAAGAGTCCATGCTTTTCATGAATAAAAAAAGCGGAAAATAGTCTTTACCTTACAGGTGTTTAACAGTGGGTTTCATATTTCAAAATATATCACATACATGTTTTCTATCTGGACACTAAGTCATTTTCTGAGCCTGGTGTAGCTGCTTACTTTTGCTGAAAATCCTTGATTAATTTCTTTGCCTTGTTATATTTCTTCTCCAGAGCCTGATACTGGCTTTGCGTCTCCTTGAGGTGCTCATTCACTGTGTGACACAGGGTTTGTGCCTCAATCCAATAACTCTCTAATTTCATCATCCTTTCCTTATTCTCCTCAATGTTCTGCTGGAGTTGGGTCTTCTCCAATTCCCACCTCACCTTCTCATTCTCAGCAGCCTGCAGCTGAACAAAAGAGTGGAGATGCAGTCCATAAAAAGCAGCAAATGGTTTAGGATTAATTCAAACAACACAAATAGAGAGAATCAGTAAATCAGTAACTATGACAGTAATATGCTAGCAGTGGGAAGAGTGTTCCAGGACAAAGAAAACAGGCTGATACATGCATTATTCTTCCTCATAAAACAAACAGAGTTTTTGCTCAGTGTTCCAGTGCAGCCTCTATGCTTCTCTGGCTTATACTAATCTATTTGACTGGCTGACATTTAAAAACGTCAATAGTGGAGTACTCAGGCAAACTGCAGGGTTAATCAGCCATCACATGGGATGTGTTTTGCTTTGTGAATGTGACTCAGGTACTATAAAGCATTCACACACTCTCAGAAAATTGTGACATTTCTTATTTTAAGAAGGGAGAATTTGATTTCCAGAATTTCTTTTGTGCTAGGGTTCTCATTTCCTAGCTGAAGCTACCTGCAGGTTTCAGTGTTTGGTGCTGGATAATACAGCATCTTGTGTGATTTAACTCCTGGAATTCTGTGAACAAAAAATGCCTTAACATCTATGTTTATTTATCAAGGGTTTTTAATTTGTTCTAGGCAGTTCTGCTAGCATCATGGATGATACACACCAAAAAAATTAACTTGTTTGCAGTTTTACCAGTAATATACCTAAATTAGTCACATTTTCTTCAGCTCTATTGAAAAGATGAGGTAAAAAGGTCCAACACTAAAGGCACATTAACCCTAATTTTGCAAATGGATTTGCACAGATGAATGTTTACACCCACACACTGATGCCATCAAGTCAATGGGCCTTGGCACAATCCCAAGGGATCAACTCTGTGGTTCCAATTGCTAGATTGGAACTGGAAAGCAGAGGAAGAAAAAAATTTTTGCTTTCTGGACTGAGACAGGACAACAAAAATTGTCCTTACAGAAAACAGTTGCACTCTGAATTTTTTTTAAACAGTAATTTATGAAGATTTGATAAACACTCTGCAAAATACACAGCGAGAGCAAATGCTGCTGGAAAGAAATAAAAATCTAAAATCTTTTTCTGATGTACAATTTTTTCTTATTTTTATTTCCCTTATAATGTAATCAGACTCAAGGAGAAGGATGTCATTATAAAACCTAGTATTGCTAAACAACTGAAAAATCAGTTAGGTTCCCATAAAGGTTACCCTAGCACAAGAAAACCCCAATTCTTTTTATTGCTGTAGCAAATTTAATTTATTAAATAGCAACTGATTGTGAGATAATAGTTTTTTTTTAAACTGATCACATTTTTCCTTCCTAGACTATCTTTTAAAGAGAGCAGCAACAATATGAAACAACACTTTTTCTTCTGTATATAAAAATAATTTCTATTGAATACCTTTAAACAAATCAAGTTTTTAAAAAAGGTCGATAATGGAAAATAGCGTAGGGATACTTTAACATCACTGGTAAATAAAAAGCCTACTAACTTCAACTTTAATTTTCAATCCAAATATAATTTTAAAACCTGAAAAAATGCATCAGAATTTTAAAACTAGCAATCTGCCATTCAGTCATTATGAAACCCCCTAAAACATGTTTAATTGAAGCTATAAAAGTTGGCACTTTCTTTTAATAGCAGCACTTAAGATTTTTACTTGAAACTTGGAACAAAGAAAATACACTAAGACAAGATTTAGCTGAGCCACTGTGCTTCTTAATCAGCCTTTATTAAGGATGTTGACTTCTCCACCCACATAAAGATACGTCTTCAGATCTGATTTTGCATAAAGAAAAAATCCATCATGTATTAACCATATATTGATTCTTACCTTTGTCTTCAGCTTCTGAATTTCAGCTTCTGTAACTGCATGTTTGATTTGCAACTAGAATTGAAAATATAAAATAAACAAGTGAAGTCACAGAGAGTACTCCGGTATTTTTAAAGCCTGTGCTGCAAGTTGAATACCTTATTACATAGCAGAAGGCCCCGAAGAGTGCTGCAGTGCAGTAGATTGTAAATTAAAATGTCTAGCTTGCAAAATGACTCAGTCTGTGCAACCTAATTAAAGATAGGATGCCGTCTAACCACTCATAATTTCAAATCAGAACATCCAATCTGTTTAGTAAAACCAAATGTCTTATGTATTAAAAAAAATAGATGTTTTCCTGCTGGGCTTTGCTCTCCTCTGATGTGAATGTGAAATACGTCCCAGTGCTGACAGTCCCACTACACTGATTAAAGCAGGCACATTACAAATAAGCAAATATGGAAATAAGTGATTTAACAACTCAAGAAGTCAGGAAAACCTTGAGGGAAGATTCCACACATTTACTTCATGCAAGAAGAAAGGTAAAGTGATGCTATCCTTCACCAATAGCTGCAGTTACTCTGCTCAAGCCAGCTAATCTCAATTGAGAGCAGTTACACAGGGAAACTGTAAATAACAACAACAGCATTCAAGCAACAAAGCGATTGCAAGCAGATTAACAGCCCAGGCAGTGTGCTAAAGGTTGTAGTTAAATCACCAAGCAGCCATAACAACAGGGGATCTGCACAGGGAAAGGGTTGGTGTGGAGGACCTGGCATCCACCTGCACACCTGCTGTGGGATTTCTTCTGTACTAACCTACATTAGTCTGCTCCTGTGGAGTGAACAGTCACTACTGAGTGTATTAGGCAATGTCCTGAAACACCTTAAGTTTTATCACAAAGGTCTGCTATTCACAGGCTCCAGGAACACTCTGAATAACAAACTGAACCATAGCTTCAACAGCATAACCCTAATCCAAATGGAAATGACCATGCACATGTACTCAATACTGGCCTGCACCCCAATCCCTGCTGCTGTACTATTTAAAGTAGGCAGCAGGGACAAACTACTGACAGACCCCAAAACCTTACACTGAATCAGAGACTTGGGTATGTTGGGTATAGAGCTGAGGGCAAGGGCAAAAAGTGAATTACAGCCTGAGCCAGCACGGCACTGGAGATAAGGCATCATCCATTATTTATGAATAGAAGGAATAGTTATGGAAAAATATGTTTTACATGCAGGTTACTTCTTTTACAAGACAAACATGAGCTTTTGGGAATAGTTTATGCTGAGCTAACAGAGTATATGAGGTTGTTGTACTGAACCAGAAACTAACATTTCTGTTGAAGCAATGGCTGCATTCTTGAAGAACCAGCTGTTAGCAAGAAAATGTGCAAATGAATCAAAGGAGAAGTTCTTCTGGAAGAAAGGAATAATTTTCAAAGTAACAGGAGCTATCACTGAGCTGACCAGCACAAGTACCTGAAAAATTCTAAGCTAATTTAGAAATTCCCTTTTCATGAAGTGTCTTGAATGCCTCTTCTCGTGGTGCAGGAAATGCACACTCTCAGATACAGTTTGGTTTACAAATCAGCCTTAATTAACCTACTGAATAAATCTAGTCCCCTAAGGTGGAGAATTCTCAATTTATGCTGGACACTGATTCACCAGTTCTGTTTAGGAATCCTCTTTCCAACACCCATTTCTCAGTCACGGTCTCCAGAGAAGGCTGAAAGAACTCCTAGTCCCCACAATCATCTGCTACTTACACTCCCTTTTTGACTTTGCACTGCAAAGTGTTACGACTCTTCATGTGCTCAGTGAGAGCAGATGTAAGATTTCATTTGAAACGAAAGCAGCATTGACTACAGCAGCTTGCAGAAACACACATAACCAACACACGGACCGTGGGGCTCCTGAGGAAGTGCCACAGGGGATCAGGGCTACTGCTTCAGGATGGAGAGGTGCCAGTCCAGCTGGGAACAGGGCACTTGGAGCCCTGCAGCTGCTGAAATGGCAAGAAGCTGTCAGTGAAGCTGCTGCACCTAGTACGCCAGGAAGCTGAGAAGGACATACACCTTTTTATATAAATATTAGAGGAAAAAAGAGACATTTTAATTAGCATTTGCAAGAGGCTACTTGCAATTTTTGAGCTCAGTCATTCCAGCCTTTGATCTACACTTTTCAGAGATTGAGAACTGTTTTTTTTCTCCCCACTGCATTCCTGTTAATAGCGAAAAATTATTAAAGAACTATCTCAAAACATCATGGTGTTTATAAAAATGCCCAACCCTTTGCTTAGATCTGCTACACTGTTCTGGGATGAGATAAAATCAGGGGAATAATAGATGAGCTAGATTTTCCCCTTTTCAGACTTTATAATGACATTGAAAAGCCAAGACTTAAAGCCTTGGGCTACCTCCTAACAGTCCACTCCCATCTCTTCTAAAACCCCACAAATCCATACGGTGCACTTAAAGAGCTTATTATTATATACAAATAAACTCCAAATTGTTGCATAAATGACAATATGCTCAGGTACAGATGGTTTTTAACAGTTATTTTTGTGCTCTCTGTTATTAAGTTTAAAAAAATGAATACTGAGTACCCAGTCAGATCATTGAATCAGAACATGGTACAGCAGATCCCACTGAGGCAGAAGAAAGAAGACACTTTTCTGCTTAAAAAAAAAGGTAGCTGGATATGTACTTTTTTAAAAAAAGAGAACTAATTATGTTTGTAGAATAGATGAGAAATGCTAACACATTTATAGGTTAGACTAAACAACAGGCAAGGTCAACTATTTGGCAAGAAATTCTGGACTCTATAGCTAAAATTTTTTAAGCAAGTTTACTAACAGGGGATCAGAAATCTTTATTCCATGTCCTGTTTAATGCCAAGCAAATTCTTGGGAGATACTGTTTTGTACTTTTTTTTGTTTGTTTTTAGGGTAATATAAAATTGTGAAGGCTTCACATTAACAAAGACATTTTGAGTAATTTTTGGCATATTTCCTATTCAAGTATGTCTTGAAAAGCTGATTAACTTTCTATAAAACAATAAAACTTGTTAAAAAAGGTAACTTTTAGAGAAAAGACTGCAAAAGGTAGAATGGGATGAAAGTCTAGCAAATGTTAAAATATCAGGAGTACACTGGGAAGGAAAGTATGCAATAGAACCTAATAATCATCATGACAGTTTTTACGTAATATCATTATATATTTTTTGCATATAATAATCATCCATTCTTGATATATTTCATTATAACATGAAGTAATGAATTCTTACATAAACGTCCCTTCTCCCTACAGATCTTGTCTCTCTTCAATCATCACAGCTAAAATAAAGTTCCTAGCTCTTTCTCTCAAAGCAGTTAAGAAAAATCAGTCCTATCTTTCCTGCTTTACAGCCAGGAAAACAAGACTTTCAGAATTACAGTGGTGAATACCCAGCAATGTCCATCTCTCGTCTGACTTTCATTCCAAAAGCAAGGCATTTTAAATAAGAGTGCTCTCAGAGTACGGGAACACATTTTTTGTTGCAAAGACTGAATTCGACTAATTAGGTCAAACTATTATGCTTAAAGATTATGTCCTACCCACTTGCCTAATACTTTCATTAATCTCTGGAGTAAGAACAAGAAAGAACAGTTATTCTTTAAATGCGATTCCAGAAAACACTGTGTGGGCTTGTGCAGTGTGACCATGAACAAGTCCTCTAGTGTTGAAAGAATTCAGGGCAAATACCAAGAAAAATACATGTACTCACTCAGCATCAGCCAACAAAATGCAGCTGTGTACTCTTAAAGACAATCAGTGAAACAAAAGTGGTGTGCTCATATCAGCAGTAACTGTGTGGGCTGCTGAAAGAGTCCACTCTTAGGCAGGAGGAGCATTCCATGTTTTCTCCTTAGGCTCTCATCTACACTTACACTCCAGGATCCCAAAGGACCTTCATCTGGTCTCTAAAACAGCGTTTTAAGGCCATGACAGAAGACAGGTGTGGAAATAACTTCAAATTAGTTTGGACAAGCTCGAGTATGGCAATAGCCTGAGTTTATGGAAACTGTATTCAAGCACAGATTTAAAAGTATTTATTCAAAGGTGAGTTTCCTGCCCATCACTGCATCTGTGTTTTGCACAGCCTTGGAAAACTTGCTGGCACAGAGAGAATGGTAGCATTTTCCCACTGCTTTGAGACTATATTTCTATGTATGATGCAAAGTATTAGAAAATCAAGTAAAATGTTCTGCTAATTCATATAAGAGCCCGAAACTCAAGATATGGAGTGAGAAAATGATAACTTAAATAATGTAAAAAATTTTCAGGAACTAACAATGAATAACAGTAGGCACCCAACGGCTGTGAGGGCTATCAGCAGAAAAGGGAAAGATTGGTTACTTTCCACACATGACTCTCACTAAAGGGTAGTAACAATATACTTATACAAGATAAAATATCTGGTTTGAGTGAAGGCAAGATGATAAGTGGAGAAGAATAAAAAGGGAGTCCTGGTATTTTAAAACTCCTATCTGGGCCTAGGTTCTGTTGCTTAGATCTCCTGTGAGGTTCTGGCTACTTTCAACACTTCCTGTGTTGAAAATCTTCCCGTGTTTAAAAAAAAAGTTCTTTACTCCCATCACTCAGCCCATTACTGTAAGTTTAAGTACATCCATTGTTTCATATTTTTATTTGCATGAGAATTCAGGAAAGCCTTAAAAGAAGCCACATCAAACACACAGCCTAAAATACAGAAGAAATGTACCTCTGCACTTCGGTATGTGAAATTACATTAATTGAATGACCACAGTGAACATCACAGTACAGGTAGATGCTATACTCCCCAGCCATAACCTTTTGATAAAACCTTGGTAAAGTGCCATCTTGAAGTATGGCTGCTTCCCCAATAGAGCATCTTTCTAAACACATGGACAAACACATGTACACTGTACACTGATGAGTTACTGTGCAGTGGGTACAGGATGAGTTTCACATGTCTCTCTTCACTGAAATTTAACATTTGTTGTTTTGCTTTTCCCCATCATCTTTTATTGGAATCTTACAAAACCAAAGCAAACCAAAAACAAGCAAACAAACAAACAAACAATGAAAAAACAATCCCAAACCCCAGCACTCTGCTAATGATGAATTAACTTGCATTTTGTCTATGTGGTAAAACTAAGTGCTGAGGCACAGTAATTCCTATATTGAAAAAGTTAATTTATAAACTGTCCTCATCAATACAGTAGTCACCTGAAAGCTGATGCCAAGAATATCTCCAAAGGACAGTTCTTTCAAAATTTTTAAATAATTCCAAAGTACAAAGCATACAAAAAGCTAAAAACCACTCCAGTTTTCAAGAGAAAAACCCTAAGCACTGAGCACTGAGATAAATAAAAACTGGGTTCAGTGGATATTTTCTGATATTTAACTTACTTCTTTGAATTTGTGAGCAAGTTTGCTGGTGTCCACATCACTGGGGGAGAACATGTCATCATTTTCAGGGAGATCGAACACTTCAATAGCCATGTCACCTCCTGGAAGGACAGGTCCCATGTCTTCATCTTCTTCATCTGTAGCATATTCCCCTGTCTTAATTTTATAGCATTTAAGAAACTCCAGTTATCCTCTTATTATGCAGAGACTATTCAAAGAGCAATTAAGACACTGTGCTACCACAGCATTCTGCATACAAAAAAGGTTACCTTTGTCTTTAGCTATAACCCCAGTACTGATGAATTCTACCAGACAAAATACAACTCCACAGTAGTATTTCAGTACATTAAGAGAGAAGACAAAACAGTGTCTTAAGCACTAATAACTCAGTTCTCAAGCATCACTGGCTCTGTATTTTGATGGTTTCATCCTTTTCTAAGTGAGACCTCTTTTCCATTGGAAAAAGTCTCCAAATATATTTCAGATTTAACAAGGCATCTTTTCCAAACAGAAAAAAACAAGCAGAATATAACCAACAGGATCTTGATTAGTCGTTAGTAAAGTCATCTGGATGAAGTAATTCTCCAGTGATATTCCATGCTGAATTTGAAAATTCATTGGTTTGTTCTTTATAAACAAATTAACGATAGAAAAGTCACACCCACGCAGAAAGACAACAGTAGGAAAAAGAAACCGAGTGTCAGAGACAAGTTCAGACTCTGAAACCAGAGTTTACTCAATTTTCACCCTGAAAAGCTGCTTTGAACTAGTTTTGAACAGAAAAATGTGGGTGTTTCTTGGGCTGGTAAACCATGAGATGCAAACAACTTGCTGACAAAACAGAATTTTGAAAAAATCATAAGCTGCAATCAGTATCTCAAGAACAAACAAAATAAAACAAAACAATAATATTGAAAAGAAAAAGCTTGCAATATTGAACCCCAAGCTGCCTACTCAGTGTTCATCTCTCCCCATCCCTAAGGTGAATGGTACCACCTTGCTTCTGCAGGGCTCCCTCTGGAAGCTGCAGTACAGCGTGTACAGATCACAAGCAGC